CCAGGAGGATCTGTTCCATGATCTTCCCAGGCACAGATGTGAGACTGACTGACCTGGTTTTAGAAGAAAAAATAAATTCTTTGCAATTACATTTATTCTAGATATATCAAGACTTAAATCTTATTGAAAGCAGCTACATCCATTGATTGTACATAATTTTCAAAAGCTGTTATTCTCTCTTCCAGCATATCTGTTCCAACTTTATCATCTTCAACAACACACTGGATCTGAAGCTTTTTGATACCACAGCCAACCAGTACCAGCTTGGAAGATCCCCAGACCAAGCCATCTGCCTGAATGCTTCAAACACACTCCTCTAGTTTGGCCATGTCTGTTTCATCATCCCAAGGTTTTACATCAAGTAAGATTGATGATTTGGCAACAACAGCTGGTTTTTTGGACTTCTTTGATTCATATTGGGCCAGATGTTCTTCCCTCAGTTTCTTTGCTGCTTCACTTTCCTCCTCGTTGTCAGATCCAAGAAGATCAATGTCATCATCATCTTTGCTATCTGTGGCTGCACCTGTTGTGTCCTCAACATCAGCAGGACCGTATTTCCCCAAAGCCTTCTTTACTCCTGGCAAGCTTGCCTTTTGCTTTTCGTACGACTTGATATGATTGTACCACCAAAGAGCATGAAACAAGTCTGCAGAAGGTGGGGCAGCGATTGCTTCAAAGACTGCTATATCAGCCTGAGAAGGGACATACCCCTCAATATAGCTCCTGTCTGCCAGAAAGTCATTGAGGAGCTGGAGGCCAGCAGCGGACTTAAGGTCCCCGAAGCCCATGACGGCAACAGAGTGGCACACAAGCTCCCACCCGCACCCTGAGCCCAACCATCGCACAAAGAGTACGTATCACCAGTGTACTACCACCAGTTCACTGTTTAATTAGCCTGGACTGTCAGAGGTTGCCTGGTAGCAAAAGGCACTGGCTGGGGGAAGCAAAGCTCCTTCTTTCCAGGAGGAATTCCCAAATTGTCTTGTTCTGGAGCAAAAATGGGGGTGGGGTGTCCAGTGCCATTACAGTATAAACACACAGTTGCATCAGTACTAGTTACCTTGGACCATTTCAGAGTCCAAATTGCCTGAGCTTCCCTGTCCTCTTTGAAGTACTAGTTCAGCATACGGGTTCATCCCCCTGCAGTGACATTGCTAGCTGAGATTTCCCACTCAGGTTTCAAGTTGCCCCATGTGCCTGGTTCCCCGTACTCTGGGTGGGCACCTGACTTTTGGGTCCACTAGTTCTGCTCTGGACTTTTGCTGCAGCACTGTGCAACCCCACTCCTTTCAACCGTATGCAGATATGCACTGATGTCCCACATTGCCTCCATCTAAAAACACCTTTTCGCCCTCAGAAACACACACCTTCCTGGGACACACATGCACCACACACATCCATTCCTGGCTGTGCTGCTCAGCCACAACTAAGAGGGCTCTTTGCACAGAAAGTTGGCAGGTTCCCCTGGCTGGCATAATGCAAGTTCAAAGGGCCACGGACTTTGGCTGCTTTTCAGGCTGCTTTTTCCCGCCTCTGCCTTTAGCCAGTATTTGCAGAGCGGCGGCTTCCCTGTAGCTGTGTGTTTTCAGGTTTGGGCAGGGATGCCCCTTCCTGTGCAAGGACACTGGGACTATCCTTGGACTGCAGCTCCCTGCCGGCCCTGCTGCTTCAGGATGTCCCAGTCGATTTGAGGGAGCAGTAAGCAATGGAGAGAGGCTCTTCTAGTAAAACCAGAAGGTGCTGAAAAATTTCCAAACGAGGATTCAGTGGGCATCTCAGGAGGGGGGGGGGGTGTGTGTGTGTGCTCCCCATTACATGCCAGCCAGGCTGC